GTTTTGATTCAAAATGTATTAGAATGAATAAATATAATATCACAAATACATGAATGAAATGTATAGGATTACAGATATGATAAGCAAAACTATCAAAGCTCCTCAATCTATTTCCAACTTTCTTTATTGAATTTTACAACTTGACACACAACAAACATTGGTACAATGAAAACACAGTAGTTTTCAAAGAAGTTCAAGCTGATTTCTCCCAGAACCCAGCCCACCGCAAACGCACCCTGTCCAGGTCCAAGCACAAGACAAACAGCCTGCTGGGATCCAGTCCCTATAGCAGTTTCTAACAACCCAACATACACACACATCCATCCACACATATTCGAAAGGAGGCAGGAAAAGAAATAATAAAAAAATAATAATAATACTGATACTAAATAAATAAATGAATATATACTTAAGCGTACATATTATTAAGTTAAACAAGTATACAAATAAATTACAAATGAAAAAATAAAAAATAAAAATAAATAAATAAATAAATTATAAGACGAAGAGTATATATCGGTTAAAAAGAAAAGAAATGGGTTGGATATCAATGAGAAGGCCTACAGATAATTTAATTTTCTTCTGAATCAGGTAGCAAGGTCATGGTACCCATAAATGATAGGAAAGGTCTCCAAGTCTCCATAAATTTACTGGAGGAACCCTTAAGTGAAAATCTGAGTTTTTCCAGCTTCAGGTTGTAAAGAACTTCTCTGACCCAATAGTCATGAGACGGGGGGACGTTTAGATTTCCTCAATCTATTTCTAGGGCCAGGCTAAGACTGGGAACGTTTTCGGCCCTGGCATTTTTCCGTCTACATTGTGGATTAACCGATCTATCTTGGAGTTTAAGAGCCACAAAGCGAAAAATATAGAATAGGCAAAAAAAAACATGTACAATTCACAGCAGCAGTTTATATTTTATTACATTCTTAATTCATGTCATTGTGTATTTCATAGTTCTAAGAAAATTATTATTGATATAAAAAATGTTTGATAACACTGATGTAACTGTGAAAGTGCAGCACCAGTTTAGTCAGAGCTGCGAAAGGCACAGTAGCATAACGTTTTCTTACCGTGCGCCTTCTGATTTTTAACTCTTTTTTTTTTTCTAAGTAAGAACTTTTCATGTCGTGTGGCTTTGGTTATTAACGTGGACACGACAGTGACTGCTGCTGCGTAATGTCCACACTTGCATGATATCACTGATTACCAGTCCGAGCCTGTCTAGGGCTATGGTAATTTTGGATATGATAGATTTTTTACCTGGGCAGCATGAATCAGGGTTTTGAATCTGGCAAAATAAGGAATTAATTTTCATT